GATAGAAACCGAGGAGATGAAGAAGACAACAAATTTGGGTAATGAAGTTTCTACAGCCTTGAACCTCATCAACAATCAACCAATCTTCATAGTTCATAGCAATTTATTAAGAAAATTATTTGACAAGCGAGTAGTGAAATGTTATGAATTATTTTTTTTCATGCACTAAGAATTATTGCAGATAAGCAACGGCTAGGTGAAGGGAAAAAAGGAGAGAATAATATTGATGAAGATTGAAGAAGCAATAAATCAAATCATGGTGTGAATTAAGATGGGAAAAGAAAAAAACGAGAGCTTGAGAGGTAAGACCCAAATCCTACTATGAGTGTAGTCTTTCCTTTTATACGGCAAAAAAAAAAAAACATGTATTGAAGATTGAAACTGCACTGGGGGGGGAAGTCGAGGCCTTCATTTTTGACGCTTCAATTGAATAGATTGATACGGGATCTTCATCCTCAGCTTCTGCATATCTGGAAGATGCCGTTGATGAACGCTGAAACACCAACATATCAGATCTGAATAATGGGGCAAATCGGAATACTCAAGCCATGGAAATCATAAAAGGAAGATAGATGTTACGGGTGGGTTTAGAGAAGGAGAGAAGGAAAAAACATACAATGTGGAAGGATGGAGGAGACATATGGAAGATGGAGGAGGTGACTAAGAGACTGAGACGGAGGAGGCGCCACAGATAGAAGCAGGAAATGAGAAGGTGAAGGGAATTTAGGGCTTGGTAAAATAAAAAATAAAATATAAAATAAAAGCACCGGGTCAGACCAGACCACCTAGTCTGAAGGGTCAACCCGAAACCGGTCTGACCCGATGTTCAACCCGGTCTGGTCTGTCTGAATTTTTTGTTTGGGCTGAATTTTTTTGGCTAAACTGGACCGGGTATTATCGCTGGACCGGGTTAACTGGACTACCGGTTTTTGTTCAGCCCTAGTTCAGGTGATGATCTATCTGGGGAAGGCCTCGGAGGCTTAGTGTGCTATCACAGCTTGTATAGCCTCCCTTCGTTTGTTTTATGTGCTAAATTATTATACATTACCACATAGGGCTCATCTATTTTGATGTTGTGAACTAATACATTTGATTATTACTAATTGATGAGAGAACTGCTAGAAAGCCAAAGGCCTCTAAGACTTTATACGTAACATTCGTTTGAAAGTATAAGTTTGTTTGGGCTAAGGGTGGAATGATATTTCTGGACTTTGGAAGTCCAAGGCCCAAGTTAAGTATCGACGTGCTTTTGATATAAGTTTATTTCTTTTAACCATGATAGTAATTTTAAAATTTTAAGGTTTCTTCTTTTCTATCATGGTTAATTTTTTGAATAAATTGAAATTTTAATCTAAATGGGTTTTAAAAGAATGGTCGTCACATCCATGGTTTTAAAAATTCAACTTGGGTATCTTAAATAGCACATTTTTTAATCTTCTACTTAAAGGGGAAAAAAATTACCAAACATAATTTTAATCCAGAAATCATATTTTTTATGAAAATACTTCATAAAATAATTTTGTTATTAATATTATTAATCATTTAAAATATATTTATTCTGATTGGATCAGGTACAAATGCATTAAGGTTCTATTTGATAAGAGAGAAATGAAAGAAATGGCAGGATAATGAGAATTTTGATGCTCTTATTTTAAAAAATTGAAGAAGCAGGGTTAAAATGTTTGATAAAGAAAAAATATAAGATAAAAGTGTAAGAAAAATTAATTAAGAAATAACTTTGTTATAACTTCACACTAATGTTACATACCTGATATGACCTAAGAACCTACAATGTTATATACCGTTGAGTATAATTTTTTTTTTGGCACGAAAAAACAATTATTCTTTTCTCACCAAATAATTAAGAAATACGTGTTGGCAAAAACAAATAATTAAGAAATACTACCGTGACTCAAATTTGTCTTGATGGGCTCAATCCATTTTGGAGCGATCCGTAATCTGTAATATGGGTTGGGCCTAACTTGCCCGCGAGTTGCTCATTGTGATGGAAGAGGTTGTTATTAATGTTTGTAATGAGATCCAAGAGAGGGCCAGGATGAGGGATTCTTTTTCTTTCTTTGTGTGCAATCATAAAGGATTGAATGAAATATCACCAAAACAAACTATACAGACTACAACCAAAATACGATAAGGACAAAGATTTGTTGTGGCATTTTTGTGACATTTTTCCAGAAGCAAAAAAGAGAGAAAAAAAACAGTAACTTTTGTTGCCTATTAGGCAATAGATATTCCCAATATGTGATCTAAATAAAACAGTACTTACGGTCTGGGCTGAGTCTAGCAAAAGTAATTAGTTTCTCATAACGTGACGAATTAAAATCCAAATCTCTATTTAAAAAGATGCTCATATTTAGTATCTTATACTATTTTAAACAGGATTACTTTTATTCAGAAAATACTTATAAAAAATATTTTTTTAAAATGAAACAGTACCTAGAAGACTGCAATCTTAAGTAAAGAGGAAAGCAATCTAAAAGCCCAACAATTTGTAAAGCCCAATAATCTGCATAAGACCAGTACCGGATCCTTCTCTCCTCCGTCTATCCATCTTCTTCATTTTGCTTTCTCTCTGCGCAACCTGGAAAGGCATATTAAAACGGGATTGTCTAGGTTAACGCTTAATGGTGTGTTTGGTTGGAGGGGAGGGGAGGGGAGGGGAGCCCCTCCCCTCATTTGGTTAAAAATTTTGAAAGGGGAGGGGAGCTAAAATGTCCCCTCCCCTCCCCTCCCCTCCCTCCCCCCATTTTGGCTCCCCTCCAAATTGGGGGTTTTTGGAGGGGAGCCAAAATTTTGGACCATTATGCCCTTATTTTTTTTAATATTCCACTTCTACCCATAAAATATATTATTATAATATTTATTTCAAATAAAATATATATTATCCTAAGTAAAAAAATAAAAAATATATACATTATTATAATTAAAAATATATTATAAAAATTATTTAAATAAAAAATTATAATATTATAAAATTAATTGTTTTTTATAAATATATATTTATTAAATATATTTTAAAGCTGGAAAAAAAGATAGCCTAAAGAAAATAAAATTTCATTTTTGTTAGAGCATATAAAATTTGTTAATTTGATTATTTTAAATATATTATTATATTAATTAGAATGAAAAATTACTATACCAATTTTTTAATACACATATTAACATGATAAGACTGAATTTTGATTAAATTATATAATTTAAATTAAGATGTAAATTAATTTATATAATATATCAATAAAAAACATAAACTAATATATAAGGGTAAAATGGTAAATTGATTATTACTATCCCTCCCCTCCCCTCCCCTCCTTGAACCAAACAAGAGATCATTAAATACCCTCCCCTCCCCTCCTTTTTAATCAAACCAAACAAGGTGAGGATGAAACCTCCCCTCCCCTCCCCTACCTCTCCCTCCCCTCCCTCCCCTTCCCTCCCCTCAAACCAAACAGGCCCTAAGGATATAATATAAGTTCGTCCTGACCAATATTAGCATCAGTTAAGAGAAGCCATTCAAGTACCCTTCTGAGCCCAGACTCCTATCTAAAATTTTTGCTCCAAAAAAAAAAAGGCTTTCTTTCTTTCTTCCTTCCTTCCTGCCTTAATAAAAAACGTCAATGATTTACATTTGATCATCCATGGTCCAATTTTCATAAAATAATCGGCAACCTGATAATTGTCCGATGCAAATATTTTTCTAATTGATTCAGCTTTCTTTTATTTTAATTGATTGATCTTTTTAACATGATCTTCTGTTACACTGCTTTCATCAATTATTAATTATTATTAATAATGCTGATTGATAATTGTTTGTTGCTTGATCTTGCTTGCGTCATACGTTTGAGTACTAATCTCTCTCTGTCGAAAATATCTGCTGGACAAGAAAGTTCGCGAGGGTTAAAAGGAAGCACCCTTCCAAAACTTCATCTCTAATCATGAAACCCACATTCCCACTCAGTTTCTTTTCACACAATACACTCTTCCTTTTATTTTACCATCTAATGGGTCTCATGTCTCTGAAGTATTTGTTAAAAAGCTGATTTTTTTCATTTAAATATCCTATAGAAAGTGTTTCATGTTATTAGTGAAAAAATCATGTTTATTGTTAAAAAAATATATATAACGCTTACCGTTTCAAGATGATATTAAATTTTAAAAAACTTCTGAATGTTTACAATTTGTTTTTTTTGCAAATACTCTCAAAGTAAAATTAGCTCGTAATCCTAAATTTATTCAAATAACTATTTTACGAGGATGAACATCTTCCAAGGAGTAGGAGAAAAGAAAACTTTCGTGCATGAGGAGATACCTAATGATCCATAATTAAATAAATGTTGGAGATAAAGTGGATTTTTTTTTCCAAAAAAAAAAGAAAGGGAAACCCAGAGAAAGCCGAGGATGGTAAAACTCAAAATATATTTCTCTTTTTTTTTTTACTAGAATTCAAAATATATTTCGGCCAGCAAATGGACATAATCACACAAATAATTAGAATTATTTAAACACTTCAGCATCTCATATTTGCTTTTACTCTATCAAATAAAGCCTTTACACATCTTCTAGCCCCAAAAAAAAAAACAGAGAGAGCCTTTGATATCTGAATATAGCATATTACACTTTATGTAAAGGACCGTGATGGCATTTTCCATATTTTTCCTTCCCATTCTACCAACTGCATCAAATATTGTAGAGTGTCATGAATACAATCATACATTTTTAAATAAAAATTGTATTGCAAATTTTTAATTAACTGAATTTTTATTATTGGACTGGGGGTTTTTTTCCACCCCATGCGTCTTGTGCGTTGATTTATCTAGAAAAATGAAAAGAATTCAATCAAGTTATTAATATTTTATAAATATCCGATATGCATAATAATGCTTTTTTCAGAAAGCATATGTGAAATCACTTTACGGAAAGATTGATTTTCCGGCAAGAGAATCCAATAATTTTCTCATTAATTAAATATTAATTAATATAAAAAAAAGGAGGAATCTCCCCAGTCAAAGCTCGTCTTTCATTTCGTCCTACCCCTAAATATGACTTTCTGTAATTCCTTCGTTAACAAAGGCCCAAAAAAAAATTTTGGGGGAATAAATTTACAAGTCTCGTCTATACGAAATAAAATTCGTCCGACGGAAAAGTGTTTTTTGCCTCTTTCCTCTCCGTTCTATTGAGCTGGCAGGGTCTCGTGCCGCCACGACTCGGACAACTCGGCTGACTCGTAATACACATCGGAGTGATCGAAAAGGCCGTCGAACTCCACGTACTCCGTGTTCGTATTCCCGTTATATTCAACTCCGGTTCCCAAATCGAACGAGTCGTAACTCGGGATCTGATTCTCAAACTCCCAGAACTCGGCGATTCCAGACGAGTCCGACGATACATGGAGTAACTCGTTCGGCAACTCGCCGTTCCCGTCCTGCTTCACCAACTCACCTCCGGGCGGAGGCAGGCCCAGCTCGTCGTCGGAGGCTTCGAGAAGGTACCCAATCTGAGGCTGAGACTCGCCGGAATCTGACGTCAGATCGACGACAGGAGCAGGCGAGGAAGATGCAGAAATCTCCTCCTGCAGACTCTTCATGACCGAGTCCAGATCCTGACTGGAAAGAGCGGGCTCGTTATCGTCGAGGAGGTCGAAGAGATCGTCTCTGAATCTCTTGACCTCGGGCGATTCCAATCGGGACTCGTCCGAGTCATCTCGAACTCGCTTCCCGGAACTCGTGCCTTCCATGGCTAACAGTAACAAAAATCTCAGAGAAAGAGAAACTTCTGATTTAATTTTCCCTTCTTTTTCTTTTTAATTCGGACGAAACAGAGGATTCCCGCTTCACAGGGTGTGTGGTGGCGAGACGAGGAGGAAGAGATTGGAGGGTTTATATAAGGGGGGGACAAGGTGGAGAGAGAAAGACACAGAGACAGAGAAGGTGTAATGATGGTGACGAGGCAGGCGCGTGGGAACGAATCCTTTGGCCTTCACGGATTTGATTTGCCTTTTTTACGTTTCTTGATAACTTTTTTCTCTTTTTTCTATATTCCGAAAAAAATTATTAAAGAAAATTAAATCTGGTGCCTGCTGCTTTCCCTTTTTAATTTATTAAACGGAGTTGAATTCCGAATTGGAGTCCGGGTCAGTTGCTGGGCCCCACTGTTCTAGTCAATCACGGCCTTTGTTTGATTGTTTCTTTACTTTTTTTTATTTTTTTTATCCCTTTTCCCCCCTTTATCTCGGCTCGGCTCGGCTCCACTCCACTCCCGACTGGGGTACGGGTTTGGTAGGAAATTAAATACGGGGTCAGGGAGAGGGCATTTTCGGAAAATCGGTTGGTGGCTTCGAATGATGAGTTGTGGAATTACATATTTTATTATTTTATTTTATTTTATTTTTCAAACGATAGCGATTGCCACGAGCGATGGTTGATGACTGACCGGGTCACTTCCATGGTACTATTTTTGTTGACTTTGAATTTGATGATTAATTGTTTCCTCTGTAAATCAGGCGATGGCTTTCCAGAAATAGAAGTTATATAAATCATTTCCAATACTTATTTTGGGAAAAAAAAAAGAATTAGTGACATTTTTAGATCTTAAAATTAATTTTTATATAATTCCGTATTTTGGAAAATTATTAATAGTCGTGGAATCTTTTGAGTCCAAATTTCCAAAGCCATCCCGATTTCTCATGAATTTGGGATTTAGAAGAGATTACTACAAATGCCCAGTCAATTTTGGGCGTGAAAAATACGTTAGAATTTTTCTTATCTTTTTTATTCTAAAAAAATAAAATAAAATCGTTTGAATGGATAGTACCGTCTATCATTAAACTAAACCAACCCAACTATAAACATATGAATGAGAAAACAACGTTAAGGAAAAACCGAAAAATACGTTAGACTTTAAACAGGTAGTATAATTTTCAAACTGTTCTGGAATCTTGAAGTATTTCCATAAATATTTAAGTTATATATAAAAAGTCCGCCTTCTTTGACAGTTTGTTTATTCTTATATGGAATTAGTTGATTTTATTTATATTTTATTGTAACGTAATATGTGTGCAGATAAGAGGTAAATCAATTTTATGATCTTCATTGAATTAGCGCAGTTGGTTGATGAAAATCAGAAATAAATAATGTTGTTCATGCAAAATAATAATCAATATAGTAATTAGTTCCCTACCAGTGCGGTGATTAACCAAATTTATTGTCAAAACTACCAATCTTTTTTGAAGAAAATTACTTAAAAATTCCATTTGACAAGCTAATTGGAAAACGGGACCTAGAATAAATGTAAAGATGTGGAGCTCTCCCGTGTCAGCAAGTGTAAACAGTACTAATTGTATATGATGAATGTTCACTTGTATATGTAATTAGCATTCATATTACGAAATAACCAAAAAATCCATATGCAATTAACATTAATATTACGCAATAACATGCAATAAGAACCCATATACAAGTGTGCATCCGTCATATATAAATAAGCATCCATCGTATACAAGAAAACATCCATAGTGAGAATTCATTATTGCTAGTGAAGATCTGTCATATGTAAGTGAGGATATGTAATATACAATTAATATTAGTCAATGTAATATGGTTTTTTTCCTGTCACACTCGCAATTTAGCATCTCACACCTTTATATTTATTCCAGCCTCCCAGGTCTCTTTTTTCCAATTCATTTGTCAAGTGAAAATTTTTAACCAATTTTTTTCCCTTCAAACATGTGTAGCTCATGTTTAGCTAAAAGAACAATATTTGTATCTCATATGATATTTGATATTAATATAGATTGATTCATTGATTTTGCACTAACTTAATATTTACACATGTATCTCGTTTAATATCATATGATATTATTAAACGAAGGCTTTCTTTTCTGTCCAAAAATAAAGTTTTATTTTCTGATTAAAATTTCATTCAAAAAAAAAAGAATTCTGAATTTTTAAAAAAAGTATTAATTAATTGCCCTCCTCTTGCAAACTTCAGATTACGCCATATATATTTCAAAACTCTTCAAGGAGATAGCTTTCTTATGGCCATAAGGATAATTCCTTGCTCTTCTGTATGATATTTTTTGCTTCTTTATCTCCTATAATTAATTCTTTTTCTTATTAAGGGTATAACTAAATTTTCATGATGGCTGTAAATAGAGAATTTTCAATATTCGTGCATGCTTGTGTAACGTAAATATATTCACTTTATTCCATTCCATGCCCCTGTTTTATGATCAAGCAATCCCACCTTTGATTCTCCCCCCCCCCTTTGTTGGAAAATAATTGCGAATTCTTTGTAGAAAATGAGACATAAAAAAGGAAGAATAAAACAGGATAAGAATTATATATTTCTATATATATATATATATATATAAAATCAACAATATTTGTTGAGATTTGTATATTTATGATCACGATGCATTATTCCCACTAATACCGTTATTCGTTCCTTTTGTGGAATGTTAACCTTTTTTGGTAAAATCTATCCTACGCTATGAGCACATAGTACCGCATCAGAGCATATTTTTATTCTGTTTTAAATCCTTATTTTTTAATTACATTTTAAAAGCTGTGTTTTAATTTCACACGAACACTTCAATACCATAAAATCAAATATGGTTTTGAAAACCTTTCCTTGTCTGCGGATGACCCAAACTACTGATTTTGGTTGAGAAACAAAAAGAAAAAGAAAAAAAAACAGGTAATAACGCCACTTTTTCTCATTTATAAGTCATTTATAACCAAAAACTGCAAATTAAAAAATATATTAAATTACTAATTTTTTTATATTTGCTCTTATTAAAGAAAAAGTGATAAAACTATACTATTTTATATTTTTCCACCTATTTACTTTATCTCTCTTTAATCTCTATATTTATAAAATCAATAGGAATAAAAAATTTTAAAAAATTCTTTAATTATTTTATTAGTGACTTATATTTAAAAACATTTTTTTAAATAACTTATAGATAAGAAAAGACGGTTGTTAGAACCAAAACGACTTTCACACAGTTCTTGCCAAAAAAACCAGACCTTCCCTCACTTAAAAGCAGCCAACGAGTCATTCAACCTCCCCATGGAATTTTGTTTCATGTGTATCCAAAATCTAAAACGCATAGTGATTTATCCAACATTAATTAAAATCATCAAATTAATCTGAAGTCCCAAGAAAATTGATTATGAAAAATTCTATTTGTTTAATTACTAAATTATCCTTATTTTTTTTGTAAAGTATACATTGACGTTAACAACTTAAAGTGTAAACATTAACAACTATCCCAGCAGATACTGACAACTCACGCATTACATTTTGTAATACATTGAGAAAATGTGTTGTCAATATCTGCCATGATAGTTGTTACTCACGCATTACATTTTGTGATGCGTTGAGAAAATATGTTATTAATACCTGCCGCGATAGTTATTAATTCTTACATCTTAAGTTGTTAATGACTGCTCTTTCAATTATCAATTACTTAAAGAAGATAAAGACAATTTAATAATTAAACAAATAAAATCTCTTGCAACGAGATTCTTTAGGACTTCAAAATAATTTAATAATTTTAAGAGATCTTTTATATTTAATTCTTTTGGATGGGATCTTATTACAATTTTCCTTTTAAAAATTAGCCCTGGTGATAGAAATTCATGTAATTTAAATAAGTGGTTGGAGATTAATTTTAATACTCTTATACCTAACCTAAAACTAATAGAAGTGAGGCATACTCCTTGTGCCTCGACCAAAATAAATAAATCGACTTAGGTTACCCTAAACTCTTGTTAATAACTTTTTAGGTCATCACTATAAAAATTAGTATAAAAAAAGATATACCATTAATTAAAGCAAATTAAATATAAAACTCACCTTTTGTTATACTTTATAAATAATGGGATGCATCCAACGTATACAACAATTTATTGCTGATAAGTGAAATGTTTTTAGTCAAATAGAATTTAGTTTTATATGATAAATTACAAGAATATGATCAAAAGGTATAATGTCTTATTTATTTACACAATATTTTATTATCAATATATATTATCCTATTTTATCGAGCTCCTGGAATTAATTTTAAAAAAAGAAAGAAAAAGAAAAAGCCGGTAGATACTGAGTAAGTGGTTCCATCCATGTTCTGAAAAAGGTAGAGGAAGGAAGGTTGATAAAGAGAAGTTAGGTAGAGATCAGTGGAAGGATGTTATGAAGAGAGGAAGGACCTAGCACGTGGTTGGTTTCATCTTTGCTCTTTTTTTCTTTTTTCTTTTTAATATAAGGTTTCATCGTTGTTCTGGACGCTCCTCACTCTTGTCCTTTTTTTTTTTTTTTGCTTCCCTCTCCTTGCACGATTGTTTTTGCCATACTTGTCACTCTAATATAATTTATTTTTTTAAAGAAATGTTAGTTAAGAAATCATCTTCGTTTTAAATTATCTATTTATTTTAAATTTTAAATTAAATATGAACTATCCAAAATCAATCTAAATTAAATTAAGATGAACACTATTCTGACCAAAAAAAAAATTGAACACCCCATACCTCATCATGACATGTGGTCCTGCAGTTGTTTTTAGCGTACTGGCAGAGTAGCATGCCGAACCTAAAACCCCCCCCCCCCAAAAAAAAAAAAAGACACACAAATACAATAAAACTCCCTTCCATATGTAACAATTAAATAATAAAATACGCAAAAATTAAGAAAATTAATCACATTAGTTATTTATGAAAAATGTAGTTTGTTTTTATTAAAGTACTCATTTTAATTATTTGCGTGAAAAACTATTTATTTGATAAAAATATTTTTAATGTGTGTAGTTAATAAAAATATTTAAAAAATATTATAAATTTTGGAACTTTA